TTAAACGAAGAGAAGTCCTGGATCCTAGTGGGGCTGCTTTACCGAAGGTTCTCAGTGGATTTCCCTTCTTTGCTGAGCTTCAAAAAGTTCTGGAGGCTGGAAGTCTGAGATCAGAGGGCTAGCATGGGCAGGTGAGGCCTCTCTTCTGGGTTACAGACTTCTCCACATGTCCACACCTGGTGGAAAGGCAAGGTTACTCTCTCTTTTCATTATCCAGCCACAAGCTTGATTGCTCTCAGTTGGGGAATTGAAATAGGGTTCTTCATTTGGATAAGATGAGTGAGCAGAGGGTTCCTGTTAATGATCAGGACTGGTCTCCGATTCACAAGGTTTTGGGAGACAGTCAGTAGCAGCATCTTTATTACTAACTGTGCCCATACAGGTGTTTGGCCAAAACTCTCTCCCGTGCACTGTCAGTTGGCTGCCCCGGTCCTGAAAAATCCCTTCGGAGGAGACTTACCCCTTCCTTTCTCTCTCCCTTTTCTTCCCCTCCAGTTCTGGAGAGTTCACCAGCCCTAGGCCACGGGCAACATGGGTGACATTGATGATTGGGACCGCAGCCTCCTCTCACCCTCTTTCCTTCTGTCTTCTTCCCCACTTCATGGTGCTCTCATTTCTCCAGGCACCAAATCCAGACTCCTATCTCTGAATACTGTCAGGAGTCTTTAAAGATGACTCAGCATTTTTTCAGTGCTTCCTAGCTGCCTTTCTCCTCTCTCCTGCTATTCCCTGTTAGGGTTGGGTAAAATCCAGCAATTACAGCCTTTATGTACCATGCATGCCTGATAGTCGCATAGCACGGTGCTGATGACCATGCACACCTGCGATCGTTCATTTTTTGTGTCGACTTGACTAGATCACGGGATGCCCACATATCTGCTTACACGTTATTTCTCGGTGTGACTGTGAGGGTGTTTCCGAAAGAGGTTAGCACTTGAATCAGTAGCCTGAGTAACGTGGATTGCCCCCATCAATGTGTGCATGCATCATGCAGCCCTTTGCCGGCCCGAATAGCACAGAAGATGGAGGGAGGAAGGAGTCCCTCTCTTTCCGCCTGGCTACTGAGCTGGAACATTGATCTTCTCCTGCCCTCAACGCTCCTGGTTCTCAGGCCTTCAAACAGAACTGCCACTTCCCTGGGTCTCCAGCTTGCAGACGGCTGATTGTGGGACTTCTCAGCCTCCATAATCTCAGGCAATTCTTTTTAAAATATCATATATATGACATATTTATATATGTATATACATATATAAATATATAGAGACATAAATATATTTCTATATATTTATATACATATATGGTGAGATTTATTATAAGGAATTGGCTATAGGAATGGGATATGTATCTCCCATTGGTTCTGTCTCTCTGAAGAATCCTGGCTAAGACAACATCATTAAGTGTGTTGGATTAATTCAGGCTTAAGTTATTGGTCATGGTGCCCTGCTGTCCACAAGTGCTCAGTCTTTATTGTTGTTGCTCAGGTTGCCTGGCCGTTTTTAAGCAACTTGAAATAAAATGAAGGGCAAGAGTCAGGGTCAGGTCCTAAAATAGGGGCCGATCTTCATCCCATCTCAAAAACAATGGGGTAGTAAGGATGCCTGGTAGGCAGCTGTTATAGATAACTATTAGTGGTCCCCTGGAAGACATCCCATTGAGTGAATGAATTCATGTATGAATGAATGGGAATGTGGAGCGGCAAGGCTAAGATTAATACCACGAACGATAGTAAAGAGTGTCCCAAGTTCTGCGAGGCGTCCCCCGGGGTAAACAAGGAACTCGCCCTGAGAGAGGAAGGAATCCAAGTGCCTGCATCCTGCATCGGTGTCCTGTTGATGGAGTGGGGAAGAGCGTTTCGAATGTGACAGCTCATGAGGCTGTGCAATGGACTCCTAGCCTCTGAGACTCTTGTCCCGAGTTACCACAAAGAAGAGATTTGAAAATGGAAGGAGCAGGCTGCATCTGGACATCTAAAAGGCATTACAACCTCTCAGGAGCCCGCCTTCTTCTAAATTCCAGGGCCTCGGCAGGGGCGACACTGCTGCTCACAGCAGCCAAGGAAAATGACCAGATCAACGCACTGTGGGGACACGGCAACAGCACGGATCAGGAGGTGCAGTGGTGGGGGTGACCCCTGGCTGAGGGGTAAAGTTCATGGGCTCCGCTTCAGCGGCCCAGGGTTTAGCTGGTTCAGATCCTGGGCACGGGAATGGCATCGCTCATCAACCCATGCTGAGGCGGCGTCCCACATAGCGCAGTCAGAAGGACCTAAAAGTAGAATATACAACTGTGTACTGGGGGGCTTTGGGGAGAACAAGAAGAAGAAAAGAAGATTGGCAACAGATGTTAGCTAAGGTGCCAATCTTTAAAAAAAAAAAAAAAAAAAGAGGTGCAGTGGCAGTTGGACTACAGCAGTAGCCAGAGAGGAAGGGAGTAAGTCACATAGGGAAGTCTGGAATAAAAGAAAGTGGCTTGGGGGGCTTGCAGTCTCAATTATCTCATGGGGTTGAGCCTCAGGGTCACTCACATTGTGACTGTCACCAATGCTTTCAGTCATTCATTTACTTTTTCATTCAATAAAAACTTGTTTGATATCTTCTATGTGTCAGGCACAGTAAATGTGCTGGCCTAGGCCATGGTCAGTGAATCTATTCTTTAAAGGGCCAGATAGTAAATATTTTAGGCTTTGTGGGCCATGCATATGGTTTCTGTCACAACTACTCAACTCTGCTGTTAGAGCACAAAAGCAGCCCTAGACAATAAGTAAACAAATATTTGCTTATTGAAAGTATTCCAATAAAACTTTATAGAAACAAGTCGCGGGCCAGATTTGGCCCGTGGACGGTAGATTGCTAACCCCTGGTTTAGAGAAACAGTGTGCTGGAGATTTCCTGTTTGCCTCTCCAAATCTGATCGATAGCCCTTTCCCACCCTGCTCTCTGTCCCAGGAGGCTGACTTCTGCAGACTGTCACCCACGTTCCTTGCCCTCTGGCTTCTGGTTAGGTTTGGCCAATGGGAGACACGGGCAGGAGATCAGAAGCTGGGAGGAGAGACGGGTGGAGGAATTTAGTCCCTCTCTTCTGGGCTGTGCTTTGGCAGTGGTCGTGTTCCTGTACGTGTGGTCACAGCTCTGACTGGTGGTTCATCCCTATGGCCACGCCTCTCACCCAGTTCCAGTAACGGCTCCCTCCCCGTGCCCCCTCAGCCCTAAGGGTGGTACTAGTTTCCCTCTGTCCCCAGCCCCGGGTGCTGCTCCATCCCTTGTTGGCTTCCTCACCATTGCCCTCACCTCATGGGTGGTCCCTTCATTAACTCTCATCATTTCTCCGTTTGAGTGTGCCGTCTCTCCCCTGCTGGACACTCTGAATATGCCCTTGTTGTGGACATTCACTGTCTTCAGGTGTAATAGTGTTGGTTGCAACCTCAGATCCAGGATGCAACATGTCATCTAGACATGGCCAATCAGTGCACTGAGTCACCCAAGCCACAGTAATTGCTTCCAGAACGTTCACATAAACCAAGTTGTTCCAATCATGGGGAGTAGCAATACTTACGTAGAAGCTACCGAGAAGCACTATCTATTCCACTGGATCTGAGCTGAGGAGAGTATGCATTTGGAGCTTCTGGCAGCTATTTTGTGAAGCCTGAGGACAAAGCCCAACACCAAAGAAGGCGAAGTCCGGAGGTGACCTTGCTTGAGTCCCTGGAACAAGATCTACTCCTCAATGCTTTTGTCAATGAGACAACAAATTTCCTTTTTCTTTTTTTAAGCCAGTTTGAGTTGAAGTTTCTGCCACTTGCATCCCAAACCATAACTTTTTGTTTTTTTAATTTTTTTTTTTTTTTTTTTTGCTGAGGAAGATTAGTCTTGAGCTAAGATCTGTTGCCAATCTGCCTCTTTTGTTGCTTGAGGAATATTAGCCCTGAACTAATATCTGTGCCCATCTTTCTCTATTTTTTTGTATGTGGGACAGGCCACAGCATAGCTGGTGAGTGGAATAGGTCCTTGCCCTGGATCCAAACCCACGAACCCATGCCACCGAAGCAGAGCATGAGGAATTGTAACCACCCCGCCATGGGGCCAGGCCTGCATAACTTTTTTTTTTTAATTCCAAGACCACTTTATACAAATTTCACTATATTCACTGAATTATCTAAGCAGGAAACCAGCCATATGTCACCTTTGGATTAGATACACACTAATACAAGGTAGTCAAACCCACACTGGATTTCAGCAGTGACAGAAGCTGGAGAGTTGATTTGCCATCAGCCTTCTTCCAAAGAGAAACGGCGGGAGTTCAGCAGCATCTTTGCGGTTATTGCCTCCCATGCCAGGAAGGAACCTCCCCAGCAATAATCCCACCCACTTTGACACTTGATGATAGCAAAGGGAGAAAAATCTTCATCTGGATGAATGGGGAGATTGGTGCTATTGTTGGCAAGACAATGAGACGAAGCCTGGTGTTTATTAACTGTTGTAAACAAATTATGAATTTGTGCCAGACACAAACAGACACAAAATAGAGATGACTGGGCATAGCAAACATTAATTCTCCGAGAGATCATCTAACAAATAATCTAAAAGATCCTTTGTGGACTCCAAGGGTGTTAATTACACTAGACCTTATTCTAATCATTAATTCATTCAAGAATTGGTTGCGTGAATGTCAGCCTGGCAGTACAAGGATGGCAAATAGTTTTCATTTCTTATGCCAGTTGTGGTTGTGACTGCTCAGTGGGCTATGTTGTGAAAGATTGTGAGGTCAAATCTGGGCTCAACAAGAATGAATATCATGGTCAATAAAAGGTGTCTTCTGGGGCTGGCCCAGTGGCACAGCGGTGAAGTTCACACATTCCTCTTCAGCAGCCCGGGGTTTGCTGGTTCGGATCTTGGGCATAGACATGGCATTGCTTGTCAAGCCATGCAGTGACAGGTGTCCCACATATAAAATAGAGAAGGATGGGCATAGATGTTAGCTCAGGGCCAGTCTTCCTCAGCAAAAAGAGGAGGATTGGCAGCAGATGTTAGCTCAGGGCTGATCTTCATCAAAAAAAAAAGCTATCTTCTGTGGAAGTGGAAGAAAGGAATGCCCAAGGTATTTGTCATCCTTGCAAATTGAAAAGGGCCTTGTCTAGAGTGAGAAGGAGTAAATTTGGGGTAAGTCACTTCCAGTCCATATGCCTCTATTTCCTCAGATTTGTAAAATGAGGGAATTGATTTAAAATAACTTATCAGGTTCCTCTTTCCCTCCTTGATTTATTTATCCATTCTTTTGTTTGTTGGCTTACGCTTAGCAGCCATGATTGAAGTTCATCCTGGGTTGGGGTGATTTTCCACCTTATGCACGCAGTTCTCTCTAGTACAGAAGCCAGAACCTCGCTTCCCCAGCCTCCTATGGAGCAAGAAGGCAACCATGGACTCCAGGGCCACCAGTCAAGCACATCTGTTCTGAATTTGTTTGGAAGCTGGTGATGGCGAGAGGTCCGCCCTGAACAGAACCCACCCGGCTAGGATGACAGCAGAGACATCCAGTTGGTTGAAGCTGCAGTCACAGCGAATCTGGTGGTAACGTCCAGTGCCTGGCTGTGGTGGCAGCCCCAGTGGGGGGCCTCTGATGGCTTCACTGGAACAGCTCTGCCGCACAGGTGGGGATATTGTTCCTGGCTGCCAACCTCCAATCCTTCATCTCTGAGCCTCCTTTAGTGCCCTTTAGCTGTCTAATTCTTTTTAAAATAAAATCCTTTCACTGCTGAAATGAGCCAGAGTGGATTTCTCTGTACTCAGGGAGCTCAAAAACTTATGATCAGGACTGAATGCCTTCAAACGGATTTTTTTTTCTCCTGTAAAGATGAAAAAGTTAATTCTCTTTTATGCATTGTAAAGAATATGCTTAGTTAATAGCTTACAAAATATATTTTGTTGCAATTACCAGCAAGATAATTGTTGCAGATGGATAAATACGTGTCATAAAGGGAAGCCAGTCTCACTTTTATCTTCATTACTCTAAGTGCACTAGAGATAATGTAATTCCTTCCGTGTTTATAGTTCACAATTTTACATCAAGAGAAGGACCCCTCTTCTTAATCATTGCTAGTGTGATTTTCAAGAGTTTGCAGGAGCATTTGGTTAAGTTCCTATAGTTTAATTCCTTTAGTTTTCTAACGATTAGAACTTAGTATCTCATGAGGGTGGATGGCCACAGCAAAGAAATTCACTTGGCTAATTGTCTTTGTGAGAGTTTCTTTAGAGGATTGAAACTTACTCCCCAAACTCTATGTACAAGAAAAACCACATTGCTTCATTTTCTTTTTTTCTTTTTTTGAGGAAGATTAGCCCTGAGCTAACTACTGCCAGTCCTCCTCTTTTTGCTGAGGAAGCCTGGCCCTGGGCTAACATTGTGCCCATCTTCCTCTACTTTATACGTGGGACGCCTACCACAGCATGGCATGCCAAGCGGTGCCATAGTCCGCACCTGGGATCCGAACCGGCGAACCCTGGGCCGCGGAGAAGCGGAACGTGCGAACTTAACCGCTGCGCCACCGGGCCAGCCCCTTTATTTTCTTTAATCAGTGGAAATTTCACTTTAACCTCCAGTCTACCAAACTGTTGAAAACCAGGAGTTTAGTAGTCGTGTCTCAAAGCAGGCTAAAGGGGCTTTGCCTCCTTCATATTGTCCATCAACAAACCATCTTCCCATTCTTTGAAATAGACAATAGATATTTTGTTAACTTTTTATGCAAAAGTGATATTCACATGCAAATTCAAGCTCCTTCTTTGGAGCATCCCATGTACTGGATGTACCTTGGATCTTTGGTCCACGTTGGTTTCCCAAGGCTTCATAGTCATATGAAAGTAGAAAGTTTTCTCTTTTTTTTAATTTCTTTTTTTTTATTTTATTGAGGTCATAATAGTTTCTAACATTGTGAAATTTCAGTTGTACATTATTATTGGTCAGTCACCATATATACGAGCCCCTTTACGCCTTAGGCCCACCCCCAGACCCGCTTGCCCTCTGGTAACCACTAATCTTTTCTCTTTGTCCATGTGTTTGTTTATCTTCCTGAAAGTAGAAAATTTTCTTGATCTTTATAAGACACCAAAAACAAATCCCGCTAAAGCCATCTCAATTATAGGCGACCTTTAAGAAAACACCGATGTCTGGGTCACATCCCTAGAGACTGATTCAACAGACCAGACATTTCTTTCTTTTTTGATTCCCCAGGTGATTCTAATGTGCAGCTAGGACAGACAATCCCTGCCCTAGACATTCCCACCTACCTGAGCCACTCCAGGGAGGCGGAGCTCAATCCTCTCTACTTAGGGAACTCTTGGCTGAGGCCGTTCCAAGCTCCATCAGTCATCATCCTGTCAGAGAAACACGAACCACTCAGGATCTGAAACAGAGGAAATGTAATGCAGGGAATGGGTTACCCAGGTGATGGAAGAACCGAGAAGCCAATAGAAGACAGTGAGGCAACCCAAAGGTTAGCAACAACGGGCAGTCACTGGAAAAACCAATATCCCAACTGCAGCGGCCTAGCAGGAGGAGTTCCCTCTTCTGGGAGACAGGTCAACCTTTTTGTTCCATTCAGGCCTTCAGCTGATTGGTGAGGCCCACTCACATTAGGAAGGGCCATCTGCGTTATTCAGTTTACTGACTCAAATGTTAAGCTCATCCAGAAACACCCTCACAGACACATTCAGAATAGTATTTGACCAAATGTCTGGGCACTCTGTGACCCAGTCAAGTTGACACATAACCATCGCAGGTGCCCAGAGAAAAACCTTGAAGTTGTCCTTGACTTCCCCCTCTGTCGTAACCTATATCAAATCAATTAGGAAATCCCAATGGCTTTTCCTTCAAAATATGACCAGAATTTGACCGTATTTCATCACCTCTACCATGACCATCCTAGTCCAAAACCACTGTTGTCTCTCGTCTAGATGATTGCGAGAACTGCTCCTCTGTTACTGACACCCTTTTGTCCTCCCTTCTCCCTGTTCTTAAGACAGCAGTCAGAGTGATGTAGTGAAAATGTGTCAGCCCCTGACGCTCCAAAGTAAAACCCTCTAATGACTGCTCAGATCATTTGGAATAAAAATGGCTCCCTACTACCTCCTCACCCCATCCTCCCATTGCTTGTGCCACTTCAGTCACTCTGTTTTTGGGGGGGTTTTTTGTGCCTCAAACGTGTCCAGCACATTCATCTCAGGACCTTTGCACATGCTTTTCCCTCTGTTTTGAAGCCTTCTTCCAGATATTCTTGTGCTTCTCTCCCTCACCTCCCGTAGGTCTCTGCTCACCTCAAAGGATACCTTATTCAAAATAGCACACTCCATCGTCCCCCTCCACCTCTGCTCTGTCTGTCTCCATCCTCTGCATTGTCTTTCTTTGCAGAATTACTATTACTGGTAACTAGAACAATGTATGGCACATAGAGAGCATTCATCAATATTTGTTTAATGCATAAATGGATTAACAAGCTAATTAACGTCAGAAACCAGTTAAAGCTATTGGCTTAACCATTCTGCAAAACTGTTACCACACGAGGAGCTGGCTTTAAGCAATAATCATAGAATTTCTCTTAAGGTAGCAAATTATTATGTGACACACAATTCTAAACCAGAATACTATTTACCAATTTTTCTTCCCTACCAGGATTTTAGGAATCTAGACATCATTAAAGCCTCAAACAAAGGAACTGGAGAGTGGGAGAAAATTCCCTTTAAATATCAGTCTTTACATTGCTGGTATCTCCTTCTCAAGCCTGGGCCACAGCAACCAGTGGACCCTGAGGGGTGAGTCAGCAACTGTCTCCCCATTGGAGGAGATGGGTGGGAGGTTGTCCCTTCACATCCCCACTGAGCTTGAAGGAGGTGTCTTTATATTGTACCTTTATAACAATAATAGCTTTTGCTTAATGAGCTCCACTGCTTGCGAAGGACTGTGTTAAGTGCTTTAGTTTTCACTCATTTTATCTTCATTATAGCCTTGGGAGCAATATGATATTTCCTTGTTTTATAGAGTAGGAGACTGAGACGCGGAAAGTCATGTCCCTTGCTTGGGTCACATGCTAAGGAACGTGCAAACAGGATTCCAACCTAAACCTATGTGATTCCATAACTGAGGAGCTCCTGGGAGTGTTTCTTTTCCAAAATGTAGGACAACTTCTTCTCATTTTAAAATTTCATTTCTTGAGGATGCTATGGATCTTTGATCTCTTTTGTTCTAGGTCTTTTTATTAATATTACTGAGGCTCCTCCCGTTAAGATTCATGGCTTTCCTGCTGTTGGAGAAAGAAGATGGATACAGCCTCGCTAGTGGAATCTGAGAAGACTTAATGGACTCTCTAATGGCGGCATGGTATGACGTGATTTGCAGAACATGTGACTTACGACATAGACCGTGGAGACTACGTTGGAGTAGACTATGCGATATCACAAGCTCAAGTTAAAGCTCAAGTTAAAGGTATAAATTCTCACAACAACTTTTACAGGTTAAGCCTCCTCTCCACATTTCGATGTCTTTTCTTAATTTTCTCCTCAATTTGGCCCTCTCTCATCATCTTAATAGCTTACACTCAAAAGAAAGCGCTAAGGTCATCATGAGTAGCGATGGTCTCAGCAAGGAAGAAAATGTGACCTCTGCCCCAATTTGGAGATATTTGGTCCCTATTGAGCACGTCTCACCTGGTGATCTTCTGAAGATCTCAGTCTCTTGGCACACACAGCTTCAGGTCATTGCACAGGAAAAGCCCCAAGTGGATGCTGAGGCTCCAGATGTCTTAGCTGCAAGGGCATTATTTAGAACCTCCTGGATCTACTTCAATATGAGCAAACTCCAAAATTTACATAAATCCTAACATTCCAGCTCTGTCTGTATAACCTTACTACAATCACAACAAAACATTTTAGATGAAAGGGACCTTGGGTTCCTAAAAACTGATCAAAGCTCATTCTAGGGAAGCTGAGAGAAGGTAAATACATGCTAAGTTTAGTTGGTTCTATACCCCTGCCCTTTAGGCTTACCCCATTTCCGTTTGAGGAGTGCCATTTTTAAAGTCTCCACAATAGTTCCTTTCTTTTGATCTTTTTGTAGATTACACAGTAGACGTTTCCTCTCCCAGTCATTTGAACAGTGGATGTGGCTCATGGTTCCCTCCTGGTTCTAGCCAATGGCTTCTGCTGATGATTGCTAGGCTGTTGGCTCAGCTTCTATGGTCTAGTCTTTTCGTTCTTGGTAGAGATATCCCGGCAGTCAGCATCTTCCTGTTTTCTGAAGTCAAGTTTGCTCACACTCCTTCCCAGATTTGGGTTGATCTGTTCTCAGCTTTAATCGCTGCATTCATGAAATCTTGCCATAGTCATTTCTTTAACTTCTGCACAATTCAGAGATATTTGACCACAGCAGCTGCCAAGGTTCTGGCTCATGCTTGAGTCATTCCCTGACTGCACCATTCTGAGACTCCTGGCTGCCCTTCCTGTTCGTCTGCAAGTACTGGCCTGCCAAAACACTATGGCTTATTTCAAGGATTTTCTTTTTAGTTTTCTGCAAGTTTCATCTTAACCTATTATTTGGTCAGTTTCGTTGCTTCTTTTTATCTGAAGATTATTATTTTTTGACTTTCTACTTGTTGCAAGAATACTATCTCAGGACTGTCACATTTGATGTAGAAATCAAGTTCTGGCTTGGTGCTCTGGTATTTTTCTCATGAATCCCTCTGTTCTATTTCCCCTTCCCTCAATGACATCCTCAGCAGATGTCATATTTGGGCTGTTTGCCCAAAGAAATGGGAGAGGTTGGATATGATGACACTAAGCAAGCATCCCTAGGCCATATTGAATTGTAGAATGATAGAATCTTAAAGCTGGGAGGGTACCCAAAGATTGATTAATTCAACTTCCTTCCCAATTTGAGAATTATTCTCCGGCATTCATTATTCCATCCTCTGCTTGAATCCTTTCAAGCAGGGAGAATGCATTAGTTGGCTACGTAATTGTTCTCTTGTTTCCAGTTCTAATCGTTGGAATTATTTTTTCTTTCATTGAACTGAATTCTGCTTTCCTATAACTTCCTCCCATTAGTTCTAGGCCTGCCCTCTGGAGTGATCCAGAGTAACTAAACTTCATCTTTTAATAATATGATAGTAATTGCTGCCATGTATTGAGTACTTGCAAGATTCTGTACCTTGTGTCTTATACACTGTAATAATCAGTTCTTCAGTTGCAAGCAATAGAAACCAATTCTGGCTAACTGCATTAGTTATCTTTTGCTACCTAATAAATTACCCTAAAACTTAGTGGCTTAAAAAAAATAAACATTTATTACCTTCCACTTTCTGTAGTTGAGGAATTCAGAAGCAACTTTATGGGTAATTCTGGGTCAAAGTTTCTCATAAGGTTGCAGTCAAGATGTCAACTGGGGCTTCAGTCATCCGAAGGCTTGACTAGGGTGGAGGAATCCACTTCTAAGCTCCCTCACACGGCTGATGGCACGAGTCCTCAGTTCTTTGCAGTGAGGACCTCTCCATAGAGCGTCTCCAATATGGCAGCTGGTTTCTCCTGGAGTGAGTGACTTGAGAGAGAGACAGAGAGGAGGCCTCAGGGCCTTTTATAAGGACCTAGTCTCTGAAGACAATGATAAGTTTTTAGTATCCATGTTTTATTTTAATCAGACAGTAAACATGAGGCTCCCAGGTCAGAGGCAGACTGATTATTTAGTTACAGAATATCTTAGTGGCAATTCTCCTTTCCCCAGATCCATCCCCTAGGGGGACACAGTGAGAGCCAGGTGGACCCTGCACATGTTGCGGGGGGATGTGGGGTGGAGGGCGGGTCTGTACTATAGAGGAAGGACTCTGAAATTAAGGATCTCACAGCTTCTGTCGGAGCTGGAACACCTACCCCACCTCCCCTCCAGAGAAAGGGAGGGGGGACTTGGAATGTAAACTGATCTTCTCTTAGGGGCAGAAAGGAAGGTCTCTACCCAGAAATGTAAATATTTGGCTCCAAGGAAGAAAAGAGATGCTTTATTATCCTTTGAACGGGAGTGGATAGCTCCACCCAAAGGGAGACAAGTGCATCAGTCTATCTCCCCTAGAACGTGAAGAACAGATGGCTCTGGAGAAAACGGAGAGATTTTCCATCTCTGTAGCCCTCCTGAGTTACAAGGAGCTCACGGTCTAGAATCCAGACCAGATTTAGGAGTCAAGTCAGTCTCTGCTGGCCTGGGGAATGCATAGGGCTGAATCTGTGAGTGGCAGAAATTCAGTGCCCGAGGCCAGGCGGGAGCAGGCTCACATTAAGAGCTGCTACAAGCCCTTTATGCATCTGGGGTTAGTTACGGCAAAACATGATACTTAAATTCTTCATCATTCAGTGGCCTTTCTCCAGCCACTCTGTTTCATCAAAGTCCCTCTGACTGTGGTATTTAATTCTCCAGGCATAGTCCGGCTAGTGCAGAGAGCAGTGGGGCCGTTAAATGCATCCAGAAACTGCCTGAGGTGCTTGTTTTGTGGGGTGAATCATACAAAAGGAGATTGTCCTGCCGAGATCTTGGGTGAGGATTGAGAAATGTCTCTAGGATTCAGAGGAACACATCCAGTTTAGTTAAGTCCACCATGTATTGCATCATTTTCTATCCCTAGGCCATCAAATTGGTTTTTGGGGGGCCAGTCCGGTGGCACAGCAGTTAAGTGTGCACGTTCCACTTCGGTGGCCCAGAATTTGCCAGTTGAGATCCCGGGGGCGGACTTATGTACCGCTTGGCAAGCCATGCTGTGGTAGGCGTCCCACATATGAAGTAGAGGAAGATGGGCACAGATGTTAGCTCAGAGCCAGTCTTCCTCAGCAAAAAGAGGAGGATTGGTAGCAGATGTTAGCTCAGGATTAATCTTCGTCAAGAAAAAAATAATTGGCTTTTGGGCTGCAGGCATGAATACCACGTATATTTCTTGCCAGTTGAGGAACTCCCATCCTTGATTCTTGACTCCTTCACCCAGCCTCTCCACCAGTCCGGCCACATCAACTTCTTACGTACCCCTGAGATTCCTCCACTTCTCTCCCTCTCCACTGTTGCCTTCCATGTCCAAGCCACCATCATCATTCAACTGAAGGACTTCTGACAGGTCTCCCCTCCTACACTCCTCTTTCCCCCCAGTTCTGTCCTCCCCACAGCATCGAGAGCACACTTTTAAAAACTTAGATGTTTGCACACAATATAAATAAAAGATCGCTCCCTTGCTTAAAAGTCTTCTATCACTGTTTAGTTCACTTTGAATAAAATTCAAACTCTTTACTGAGCCCCCAAGGCCCTGTGGGATCTGGCACTTGCCTCTGCTGTATCATCTCTTTCCACTTGCCCCTTGCTTATTGTGTCATAACTACACTAGCCTCCAGGGCCTGGAGTTCTCAGGAATTACACATCTTTCATGCCTCAGGAACTTTGAATGTGCCAGCTCTCAGCCAGAGGCTCTCCCTTGTTCCTGTCACCACCCTAACACACGTGCTTGCCCTGGCCTTTGCATGATTAGTTCCATTTCATCTTCCAGGCCTTTCTCAACCATCCTGTCTATACCATCTTCTTATTCCCCTATCAGGGCACCATTTGTTTCCATCAAAGAATGCATCACATACTGTAATTATATGTTTACTTTTTATAAACTTTCTCCACCAAACTAAAAGCACGTTGAGAGAAGAGACTATGCTTTGTTGCCCACGGTGTACCTGGAACTTAGCACAATGCCTGGCCAACAACAGCAGGCTCTTGACAAACAGTAGTGAAATGAACATTTATTTAAATTATCATTTACGTAATTTACAAAAAGAAGTGATTAATTAGGAAACATAATACTCTTTTGAATTTTTGTGAGGATTAAATATATTATTGTGAAGAATAAATGAGATCTGTGAAAGCATTTACTATATCCTTCCCTCCTTCTCTCCCTTCCTTTCTTCCTTCCTTCTTTCTTCCCTTCTTCTGCTGCTCAGGAAAACATGGAACTCTCTTGGCTACAGTTTTCTTTCCTGCCCTGACTCCCTCCCTATGAAGGTTGACTGTGAAGAGATTTTACCTCCCTAAAGAATCTCTCTCTTTCAAAGGATATGGATTATAGAGGAAAGAGGGTTTTCTGAATGATTTTTTGAAACAGCTGTAGAGAGCATTGCTCGGCAAGCGTTCAAGTCTCCGTATACCCGTGGGAAATTCCTAGACAAAGTTGCCATCTGGAATTCCCAATTCATTCTCAAGAATCGAGGCATAGACAGACCACACCTGAAGTAAGTTTGGAAATAATAACACAACCAGTGATTCACGAGCCCTGACATGTCCCAGGCTCTGTGGGAAACCCTCTTCCTGCCTCATCTCGTTGAATCCATCAACAACCCGGGGAGGAATGTGCAGGACCCTGCTTTACAAGGGAAAATTGGGGCTTAGCAAGAGGGTGCTAACGCATGTCTGTCTGACTCCAGAACTCTCTGACAATTTCCTGGATGGCTTCCCAGTTTTGATTCTTCTCTTCCTACTTTGTACATCATTCTGGCCCAAGTCTGTGCCTCACTCTCTCTTCCCACAGCCCTTTAGGTTCCTGTGTGACAGCCAGCCCGCAGGAGTATGCCTAGTTCTTTTCTGAGTTCTCCCCACTTCGTAACCTCCTTCATGGTTTTCCCACCTTCCTCTCTTGCAAGGTATTCCACATTCCATACCAGTGACTATTCCTGAGACATATTTTTGTGTGTCACCTCAGCTCAGAGGTTTTATGGATTCCCTTGGCGTTCAGGATGTCAGTTCTGGTTCTGCCTTGCACTAGTTGTGTGTCATTGGGCAAGGTAAGAATTTCTCTGAATCTGTTTTCTTATTTCTAAAATGAAGATGATTATATCTACTCCATGAGGTTGTTAAGATTAGGCAAGATTCTCTCTCACTCTGGACAGAGTAGGTTGTGCTGCTATGATAAATGATCCCTAAAACTGTGGTTTTGTTCTCACTCACACTCCATGCTCATCGCATGCCCATCATCTTCACTTCGGGGCTCACGCCAATGGAGCGGCTTTTATCTGAAATGTTGGCAGATGTGAGCCAGATGGGTGATTAGTAATAAAATCTCCCACAGACAATGTAGAGGCTGGCACTGGCACAGTGTCTGACACGTGATAGGTGCTGAGTAAATGCTTTCTCTTTCGCATGTACCCTCAAGTGGGAAGTGTGTTACACTGGTGTCTAAACCTCTATGTGCAGCCTCTTCCTGCAGGATGTGTGGAGTTCAAATGCCAACCATATTACAATCCAATTTCAGCGGGCTTTCCCTTTCGAAAGGCTAAAGTCTTCTTTACGTCTTCTGGTTTCATAATCTGGGAGGTTACCATATCTGTTTCCTGGGGCAGCCATAACAAATTACCACAAACTTGGTAGCTTAGAACAGTGGAAATTTGTACTATCGGAGCTCTGGAGACCAGAAGTCTAAAATCAGGGTGTTGGGGGCTGGCCCGGTGGCCGAGTGGTTGGCTCTGCTTTGGTGGCCCAGGTTTTCGCCGGTTCGAATCCTGGGTGCAGACATGGCACTGCTCATCAAGCCATGCTGAGGTGGCTTCCCACATACCACAACTAGAAGGACCCACAACTAAAAATACACAGCTATGTACCGGGGGGCTTTGGGAGAAAAGGGAAAAAAAAATAAAATCTTTAAAATCTCAAGGCGTTGGCAGGACCACACTCCCTCTAGAGGTTCTAGAGGAGAATCTGTTGTTTCTTCCAGCTTCCGGTGGCTGTTGGCGTTCCTCGATGTGTGCCTGCATCACTCCCACCTCTGCTTCCGTGATCACATTGCCTCCCCCTCTTCTGTGTGTTTCCTCTGTGCCTCTTATAAGGACACCTGTGATTGGATTTAGGGCCCATCTGGATAATCCAGGATGATCTCCTCATCTCAAGATGCTTAAATTAATCACATCTCCAACAACTCCTTTTCCAAAAAAGGTCACATTCATAGGTTTTGGGAATTAGGATGTGGACATATCTTTGGGGGGGGGGGGCACCATTCCACCCACTAGGGTTACCAAGTGACTCTTGAGCATTACACAGTCCACAACTTGGCTCATTATTATTTTAGGATGAGGCTGATTTTACACATAACCTTTTTCTCTCAGTGATCAGTTGTTCTATATAAACTCAGAACACAGTGAAGAGATCTTGTTTCCACCACAGCATTTTGTGTCTCTGAGAAATTGCCCAAGTGCAGGCCCACACTTTCATATCTGGAAAGCAAAAAGAGTAATTATATTAAAACAAAACAAAACACCCTCTCCTCTTTACTCTTTTTTTCTAGAATTGGTGGCCCTTCAGGTGTAACTCTTTTTGCGAAGGTTGCTCATACAGACTATTTGGTGTTTCTAGGAGTTCTCTTTGTAAAAAAAACAAAAAGGCAGATTTTTCACCTTTGACTAAAATGGAAATTTTCCACGTTACTGTGGGTTGGCTGAGGTCTTCTGGGAAATTCTCCTGTGCAGTCTCTACCTGAAACACAAAGTCTATAAAAGATACTCTATGATTAAAGAAAAATTATTATCATTCCAAAGGACTTGGCCTATAATTAATTGTGTTTTTAAAGGAGTTGCATTTGCTTTACTGCTTTTTGGAAGAATTAAATGTAATTTGTATCTCTGGGGGGGAAAAGATCAATCTCTTCATATATATTTTTTTTTCTAGTGCTTGATAATAGTTAATGAGGCACATTTTTCTTGTTCACACAAGTCCCTACTCTTGGTGTGAAAATATACTGACATCCCCGCCCCTTCTGTATCATGTGTAAGTGATGGAGGAAGAGAAAAAGGGAAAGAGTAGTAATTTGTTGTCATGGAAATGAGTTAATACGAAGCTGGCGGTTTGAACTATGACTTGAGATGCTTAAGAGGGGAAGAGAAAGGATGACAACATCTATCTCACCATGAAGCCAAAATCCTTAGGGAGATACTGGCAAATATCTGGGTAGGTTTTTGACCCCTCTCACTCTGTCCCCCTCATGTAAGTATTCAGCTGTTGAGCCTACATTGATCTAACAGGACCAGACAAGGCCCCAAGAGACCTTACCCCTCTGCGTGTGGCAGGGCCAAGTGAGGTATTGGATAGAAACAGTATTCAATCTCTGTTTATTGGATGAGTATGACTCCGATTTAGATAAAAAGACCAAACACGAAGGCATTTACAGAAGCTCCCTGAAGTCCCTGCAATGAGACTGACTGCCCATCTTCCAGTGATGACCCCTTTCCTAGAGATGACCCTAAATCATGGAGTTGTCCCCTGTGGCCATGTCTGGACTATTGACCCTGACTCCTACCATAAGGTATGATTAGGTAGACTTCCAACCACTGGTTCAGTGGTGAGACCTGACTCAGTTTGGACAATTGTGGTAATTTTCCCTTCTGGTCATTGTTGATTGGTCCAGACGTGGCTATCTGCATCAACCAGATCAATCAGAATTGTTCCCCAGAACTTTTCAAGCTGGAACTAAGAGAAAACTGTTGGCTCCATTTTGAAGGTGAAGGTGTGAGGTAGGAAGCCTTCCGCCCGAAGGTAGCCATGTTGCACACCTCTTCAAAGAAATCCTTTGGAGAGAATGAAGTGTAGAGTGGCAGACGAGAGATGGAGAGCCTACTAGCAGAACTCAAGTCCCCAAGCTAGCTGCACGTCTAACCTTTCCACAGTTATGAGAATCCACCTCCAGTAAAAACCCATTGCTTGACCAGGTTATTTAGAGATGGATCACTATTTCTGGAACTCAGAAGAGCCCTAACTAACACACTTCTCTTCGCTGTTTTTGGTTGTAACTAAAGGTGTTTCTCAGTCAAGTTCTAAGCTCCTCAGGAGATGCAAGGGACTTGGACGACCCAAACTAATGAAGTCAAGCCCTTAAGACATTTCTATGCTACGTGTGGCTAGAGGGGACCCAGGGAGTTCGTCAGTGGGAATATTCTCTTTTGATCAGTTTGCCGAGATCTGCTGAAGCCCTCTTCTTGCATTAAACACAAACACTCCTCCAGGGTGCAGAAAAAATATTTTTCAATCATCCACCTCAGATGCAGTCCTTTGCCTTGGCAGAGCTCTTTCTGTCTCCTATATCTCCTACAATACTTCCACGCCCATTATCATGTTTTACCTCTGAAGAACTCTTGGAGGTAAGCGGAGCCAAGTGTCACCATTACCATTTTCAAAGGAGTAAGCAACTGCATTCTAGAGGGAGTAAGTGGTTGGTACAATGCTGCTGAGTTAGTGCAGCAGCCTAGAAATTGGGTTTCCTGACACTCAGAACGTTATCCCTGATCTACCCACATTTGACTGAAAACAAATGAGCCTTGTGGCTTTCTCTCTGGTTCTTAGTCTGAGGAGGCAGAGAAATGGGCCTGAGAAATGCCCCTCCAGCTAGTATATGTGGACTTGTAACAGACAAACAAAGATCCCGGTGGGACGTGGGGACAAGGCTCATTTTGCTGCTTTGTCCCAAAATGGAGTGGGAGAATTAGAAGCACAACAATTGACACAGTCTGGTGGTGTAGATTAAGGATTAAGTAGATTACAAGAACAATGTGGGCTGAGGTGGACATTGGAGGACAATCTGATCTGGGGAAGACCGAAAAGCATGTGTTTCTACCACTTGTTTCTGCCTCAGGAGAGACTGGCATCATGGCTGGAGCTACTTTCCAAACTGGGAGAAGGGATTTCTCTTTGCCAGGAGAGCTGGTCTGGAGACAGAAGTTTGCCTGTGGAATTACTTGGCTGTATTGTTGGATGTGGTCAACTGCATTTCCCCTTCAAACAAGTGGGGAGTCAGCTACGGCTAGGATTTCTAGATGGTTCCTCTGTTCTTCCCAGACACCCCTGGGAAAAAGAACCACTGAGATCCCACTAGTGGGGAAAAGAAACATAGTTGGAGGGTGCCTTCTGCCAGAATTGAAAACCAAGTGGACCTAGGAATATATCATGAGGTTCCTCTTTCTAGCTCAGGACCCTGAAAAAAGAAAATTTGACTATTCATGATATAATATTTGGAAATGGGAGAAACGGGACTAGCTTTTTGAGTCTTAAACTTTAATACCAGTATATACCGGATTAGATGTTAAAGGTCAATAAAAAAAAGGCAGTATGCCTTCCAAGGCTCTTGGGCTGGCTGGCTGGGAGTGGGAAGTGGGGGGCCGAGGGTTTCAAGGGGAAGGTGGTAGTTATGATGGTCAGCCATGGAAACAGAAAAAAGAAAGATATAGAGATAAATGCTAATGGTGTTTGTTCAAACCCTGTCCTGTGGAGAAGGAGACTTAGCCAATGCATTTTGAGTATGTAATACATTCCTAACAGGTCGATGTATCTAGAAGGTTATAGCCATTGCGTTTCCAGTATTCACATCCTACCTGCAAGACCATCGCTATGTGAGATGAATGATGCACTAGGCTAGCTTGCCCTGCTGCTATAAACCTTTGGCTTATCTAATTCCCTTTGAGCTGATGTCACACTCAACAGCAATCTCCTGATTATTATCTAGCCTTTTCAGGGGAATAATATATTAATCCTGGAGACTTCAGATGGTCTTGGTCCTTCTAAAGGTGATTTCTTACAGAAAGGGAATAACTCGATACTCTGATTTTTTTTCACATCAGCCTCTTCAACATGATTAGCATACGCTTGCCCTGGGAGATTAACTGCATGGTGTGCTGACAAAATCAAGTTTTGAGCTTACCAGTCTGATTATCTGCTGATGATTGTAAATCTGTAAGGTAGTAAATGACATCCTCTAAGACCATTTGGGAGACAGCCAGCCAGCCTTTCCACAGTGGGGTATCTTGGCATCACGATTGGGCTGAGAAAGCACATTGTGAAATTTAACACAACGTTTTTGGTTGGGGGGGAGGGGAATAGATATGGAAGGTAAAAACAGAGTCTTGACAGGATGTGGGGGGAACACGCAAACCTTAACGTGGTGCTAAAAATGTTAATAGGATGAGTGTGATAACCATGAGAATGGCCTCATAGACCACAACCACAGGGAGGTTGCTGTGGTTGTGCTCAAATGCATTGCCATATTTGCACAGAGGTTACACTTCCCATGGCCTGCTCCCTACCAATGACTAAGGACAGCAGGAAGACTAAGGCAGGCCCATTCTGGGAGATAGGCGACTCCTCTGATGGCCAGCTTTGACTTGAGAACTCCCCGACGGCCTTGCCAAACCTTCTTTAGATTGCACGGCAGTCTAGAATGCTTCCATCCAATCTTCCTTCCCATTCTCCTTCACTCAGGGTCAGATTTTCATCATGCCTCTCACACACACAGTCTTGTCTTGGCATCTGCTTCTCAAACGTCCCAGAGGAACACAACGAAAAATGTACAGTCAGGATCCCAGCAGGAAACAGATGACATATATCTCTTTGACACACAGCTCACACTGGGAGACTTTGAGTAGAGTTTAATAAAGGAATTATTTTCAAAGGTATAGACAGCTATAGAGAAACCACAAAGAAGACCGTAGTTGCTTGGGGCTAGTAAGGCACTGCTCCCCATCTTAGGCCCAAGGGAGCAGTTACTGGAAGCCAGAGACCGAGAGGGCTGTGCTGAGAGGGTTGCCTAATTGGAGCTGGAACCTGCACAAGGGGTGCAGCCCTCTGCAGGGGCCCCAATGGAAAGAGGTGAAGGAACCAATACTCTTGCTTCACTCTCCTTCTCCCTGTGTTCTTGCTGGTGCTCCCATTGGCTCAATCTGGCTGGAAGTTTCAGGAAGGTAAGCCTGTTGATGCAGTCCCTGAGGTCAGCCTCATGCATCCTGCAACAGGGAGGAGAAAAATGGAGAGTGGATCTGGAAAGGCAAGAGGGACACGTCCAGGCAACGGACAATAGTGAGATTTTGTGTGGCAGCAGCAAGGCTTCCCTCCGAGCCTGCCTGTAGCAGCAATGGCAAAAGAGAGGCCCAACCTGGCAAATTAAAGTACTCTGGCACCACTTCCCTCTGCATCTCTTAGCCTCAAACTCCCCCATGTGGTAGCTTCATCCTCAGGCTAGTAGATTGATAACTACTTCCATTTCCGGAGTCATATCCAGTCCCTACAATGTCCAGAGGTAGAAAGGCCATCCTTTCTCTTGTGCTTGCTTCACTTAGGCATGAGGAAACCTTTCTGGAAGGCCCGCAGGAGAATCCCCTAATGCACATGGCCACCCAGGAGAGGGAGATTCCTGAACAAGCTGGGGGTTCTCTTAGGAAGGAGCAAGGGGCCTACTACGTGGGGCTGCCACAGCCATTTTCCACAGAGCAAACCAAATGCTCTTTCTAACACACAAATCTGACCATATCATTTCCTGCTTAAAAGCCGTCAACAGCTTCCACTACTCTCATGCAAAAGCCCGAATTTCTTATATGCGCATACAAGTCCCCTTATGCTATGGCCGCAGTCTACCTCCCCAGCCTCATTTCTTGGCCTGCCCTCTATCCTGCAGTCATATTAAACCACCTGCACTTATCTAAACAAGCACGCTCTCTCCTCTGTCGCTTGCTTCTGGGCCTCTGCTGTGTCTTCTGTCTGGAGAACACTCTGCTGCTTGTGGCTTTCTCAGCTCATCTTGGGAAACACCACATAGTGCTTCTTCCCCGGAGCCTTCTCTGGGCCTGCGGTGTGCTCATGCCCTTGTGCTTACCCCTACAGTATCGCTGTATTCAGACGACCAGGGGTCTCTCCTTCTGAGCTCTACGCTCCATGAGAGAGAAGTCTGTGCCTGCTGTGGGGAGCTGCCTCATGTCCTGGCTAAGAGCTCAGATTCTGGCATCAGACAGCCTGGATTTGGCTCTTGGCTTAACTACTCATAGCTAGTGACCTTGAGTAAGTAATTCAAACTCTCTGAGTTTCTATTTCCTCATCTGTAAAGTGGGAACAATAAAAGTGAGTACTTCAGAGAATTATTGTGAGGGTCAAATAAGATGACTCATGTAAGGCATTTAGCACCATGGCTGGCACCAAGTCAGCGCTCAGGAAATATTTGCAGAATCGATGGCGAAATGGTAAACAGACCTGAGCCCTTCCCACTGTTCTGGGAATCTCATTTATGGGATTAGATTCTACCAGAATCTAATCTAATCTGGGAATCTATGAGGTAATCGAAAATTCTTGCCCAGACAAGGGATTTCCAAGGCCGGTCTTACATACGCGATTGCAGAACTTGGGAGTATGTTGGCCGTTCAAATAATTCCCCTACTAGCCTGTCAGGTTGCTCAAATTCTGTCATTACAGATTGATTCTTTCAGATTAGCAGTCAGTCCATACGTGCTCACTCTGCTCCAAAAGACACGACCGTGTCCAATTAAGCAAGGTGTAGACAGTAAGAGCTATTGCACTTCAGAGGAGAAGAACTCTACACTGAACTTGGAGGAGAGGTGGCATTTAGACAGGTGGAGAGGGAAGGGGAAGATGACCCAGGTAATGTGGAGACAAAAGTGGGGCACGAGAGCTCCCTGAGTGGCTGAGGATAGTGTGTGAAGCTTTAGGGGACCGGAGGGTCCTATAGGGAAATCCTCCGAGATAAAAGTACCCCCCTGAAAAATATGAATTCACTTGAATTGATGTCACAGAATTTTAGACCCAAAAAGGAATTTTTAAATCCCTTATTCGAAGAAACTGGAGCTCAGAGAGATTAACTATCTTGACCAAAGTCATCCAGTTAGTTGGCAAGAGAAAAAGAATATGAATTCAGATCCCGTGATCCTAGACTCCAGAGCTCTTTTATCCACAACCAAATCACCTCTTAATTAGTTCAGACAGTTTCCTTTTCTCTTAATAAGCTGCTGAGATCATGGAATGGGAGGAAGCAGGGTATCGTTGTGGGTGGGGAGCGAGTGGGAATAGTGCATGGGAGGGAAGGGAGAGGAATGGAATCCTCAGAGGAAGCGGGCAGGTAGGGAACGCGTGTCTCTAACCCTCAGCCTCTTCTTCTCATACCCTTTTCTTTCTGAACAGTCTAAACAATGTATTCACACTGAGATGTCAATGGCCCAAGAGCCAGAACCAAAAGCACCATGACAAGTGGCCTGTCATCAGGAGAGTCCTGGGATAGGAATCTGTGTTGCAAGGACCAGCAGTGAGGAAATCTGAATTCCAATCCTGGCCTGCCAGTGAACAACACTATAACCTTGGGAAAAACACTCAGCCAATGGAACCACATAGAACGTTCTAAAGGGACAATTCTCAAGGTATTTGAGGACAGTTGTCAAATTACAACCCCTGCACCCCCAAGCCTTCAGTTCCTCAGGCTGAACACCTCCCATTCTTTATTGGTTCTTTGGTTTCCAATTGAGCCTTGTTGCCCTCCATTGGATGAGTTGCAATCTATCAGTGTCTTTTTTCCAGGCACCACGAATCAAACATAATATTCTGGTTGTGCAGGTAGATCTGTACAATCCTCTCCTTGTCATGCACTCTAGATCCATCAGTGGAGCATAAGTACTTGGCTTTCGGGCAACTCTACTTTATCAGTACGTTCCTGCCATGTTGACGCATCCATCGATCTGGGCGATCAGTGACTACAGATCCCTCCATTCTCTCTAAAAACAAATTCAGAAAGACTTTGTTAAGTGCCTTGCAGAAATTCATATATGTTACGTGGACTCAAGTACCTTGATTTACCTCTCTGCAATTATAATCGAAACAGGAATTGGTATTTGTTCTTCAGGAGCTTATGTTGGCTCCTCCTAGTCATCTTCCCCTGTTCCGAATGCTCAAGGATCTTCCTGTTCTAGAACCTGGCCTGGCTCAGCTCCATGCTCACCAAGTGACTGTTGTCAAGACCCACCTGCTTCTCCTCTTTTAAAAAATTGTTCCCTACCTTTGGTTGTCTCTAGTTTTCTGGCCTCTCTTCTATTTTTGTGATCATCAGGAGGATTGCACAGAGCAGTTCAATCATCTCATTGCAAAACGCCCGATTATCTGACATGCAGTTTTTAATACGTTCCTTGTAGAAGTCCCTCCCTGTAGAAGTTAGGATATGGGTGCAGATAAGTAACAAAGACCCCACATGATAGGTAATTAGAAAAGACAGAAGATCTCCTGCACCCCCACACCTCTGTAACAGCCCTGGTGTAAGCAGTCCGCGGCTCAGATGGCTGCATCAAGGACCAGAATCCTTCGATCTTGCTACTCTTTCATCTCTAGAGAGTAGCCTTTGCCCATATGGTTCAAGATGGCTCATCACATCACCTCAGACGCCATCTAGGCAGCAGGGAGGAGAAAAAAGGAAAGAGGAAGGCTCTGTTTGAGAGTACAAACCTGAACTTGCACATCATTCTTGTTTATATCTCATTGGCAAGAATTTATAGACTTGGGCATCCAGCTGCAAAGGAGACTTGGAAAGGTGGTTTTTCTGTTAGCTGTAATATAACCAGCTAAAAATCTGCGGCTCTAGTTCTATAGGAGAAGAGAAGACAGATATTGAGGAAAATTTAGCAGTCTCTGCCATACTCTAGTTCAGCTTCCTTTCTACATCTCTTAAGGACCCCTCCATTCTCTCAGATCTGAAACTATAGAGTCATTTCTGCTTTTACTGCTTCTTTTATAGTCACTCACAAAATCCTGTGTATTTTATTACATTTTAATCAATTTTTATCCATTCTTTTCTTTCTATTTTCACACATTGCCATTCGAATACAGATTCTCATCAGTCCTTGGTTTGGTCAGTCCCATCCAGAAGTCCAAACCTTCCATCTGCTGACTGCTTGATAGGAAAGGATATGGGCGAATTCTCTCCATTGGCGGACAGTATTGGACAGAGTTTTCCACTGCCCTTAATGCTGATGCCTATTGGAATTTGTAAGGGGGCAACAGATGTTCTACCTTGGTGGTCTGTCCTCAGGAGGAATAAGGAATCACACGGCTTCTGCCCCTGTGACCTTCTGCCCTCAGCCAGCTAATTTCCAAACACCCTGGCTCGGCCCCACTCCCTCCCAGAGAACTGTGCTCTATCAGTTTATGTCATTTTTTGCCCCCTTTCAGGAGCAATGTTTTGTCATTTTATCATTTCTTGATCAAACTACAAGAGCCTTTTAACTTGTTTCTCTGAAAACATCCCATTCTCCTCTAATCCATTCTGTACTGAGCCCAACTGATCTCCTTAAAATATTGATTTCATTTTTTATGCTCTCCTACTTAAACATTTCTAAATGGTGGATCATTTATCTCAGTAGGGATAGCAAATGCATGTTGCCTTATTCAAGGCCAACCCCACTAATCAAGATACTATTTCCTGCTCAGCCTGGATGATGCTTTAGAATAATTTTCTGCAGGTGGTACAACCAATGGGTTGGAATTGGCATGAGAGAGAAATCTCATTTATCACCCTAACCTACAAAATTATTTCCAAAAGTTGGGCTTTAAGCATCCTCCATCTCTGAACATGTATTATGTGCAGCAAAATCTTGCTGTTCAACGTATGCAGGCCTTATTTCCTCCTATAGACCATAAGCTCCTCATTCTGTTTTTGTTTTTTCATTAATTGTCTGGATTCTGCTACAGAGTTGGGGCAGACACTGTTTGTAGGCATCCTCAGGTCAAAGAGGAGATGTTGAAGGTGCTGAAAGCTGAGCTGATGGATGAAGGAAACAAGGCCAGAAGGAAAATCTAGACTCTCATTAAGAAAGGCAATAAAAGGCTGTAATTAGAAAACTGGTGCCAGGTGTGAAGTCCAAGGTCTTCAAGGTCACAAATGAAGCCGGAGCTCAGGAGCCAGAAGGATGGGAAGCAAGTCAGGTTGCAGAGTGCAAGTTAGGACAAGGCAAACGATTCAGAATTAAGCTTGTAGAAATACTTCTTGGAACTGTCAGAACTGCCTCTGTGCAGGATCAGCCGTTAACACAGAATCGTGTGTGTAATATGCGTTAATGCACAAATAAGCAAAAACATAAATCAAAGTAATACCACGTAACCCTATGTTGAAATGCTGTGTTGAACGACAAATTTCTATCATTTGTGTCTGTGGGGGATGGGAATTGGCCACCCCAAGATATGTCTCTTTGGCATGAGGATTATTTTAGGCTGGTTACTTTAAAAAACTGCAGAGGGGAAGAAGGCTCTGAGGAGCAGAATTTACGTAGCCTTTGTTAAGAGACATTTACATTGTAAAGGAAATCGCCATCTGTAAAGGTGTCTCCCTCTCTGTACCAGGAAGAATTGGGGCAGATGACCTTATCTCTAGAAACTCTTAATCAATGCCAAAGGCAAGGACTTAAATCTGCATTTGTTTACTGTACTTGTGTGGTAATCTCCCATGATTGACTCCCGCTCCACCCCCAACATGCTCCTTTGTCGTTAGCTGAAGATGATATTTAAGGTGGTGGCTTCCACCATTTTGGCGAGTTGCTCATGTTGCCTGAGCCTCTCCCATGTATACATGTTGTAAAGCTTTGTTTAATTTTCTCCTGTTATTCTGTCTCACGTGAATTTAATTCATTCTCCAGCCAGAAGAACCCACAGTGGGTAGAAGAAGTGTCTTCCTCCCCTAAATCTCAGTCTCTTATACCCAGTTTTACCCAAAATTAATGACTTGGTAAGTTTCCTTTAAATTCCTAGTATCTCTTTAGATGTCTTTAATATTGTATTAAAGTGCCGGAGTGGAAAAGGTAACTCTCAATATCATGCACTAATAATAAAGCAGACATTAAAACGAGTGGCAGATGGAAACAATACAGACTCCACCCAGGGATTTTCACAGATTAGATCCCCATGAAGCCTTTGTTGCTCGTCTGCTCCTGCCAAGCCTGAGGGACAGGCTTCTTGCTGCAGCTGCCTTTGCAAAAATTAATGTCCTGCTCCTGCCAAGAAAGCAGATGACGAGCTCAGCAGCTCTCCTTTGGTTTGTTTTTCTCCACGGCAGGAATATGTGCCCCCTAAGTAGGCATTTGTTTGCGTAATCAGTAGGACTGCAGAAGCAAAGGCAAGGAGATGAGGGTGAGGCAGGAAGGAGAAAGTGGCACCTGGCAGCAGAATAAAACACCAAAAAGCCAGGTGACGGAAACAAGGCCAGCTAGCCTTCACCCAAGTTGATGGAAGCAAGTTGACTCATGCAACCCTGGGAACAGCTAAGATTGTTTGCATGCTCACGATGAATCATCTAATGCGTAAGTCAAGCCACCAGCTATAATTAATCTTGTGCATTAAAACAAATTTGAGGATTTTGAATATGAGCTAATGAGACTGACCTGTATGATCATGCGCTCATAGCTGCGTAAGCGCATCAAGGACAAAGCTGGAATCTGGGGACGCCCTCAGAAAGTGCCTTTCCTGGTGACCTGCAGTCTCACCCACCCAGGGCTCCTTGTGGGGTGTGAACGTTGGCAGTAGGTTGGGCTGGATGGTATTTGCCCCACCCATGCTGCTTGCAAGTCCTCCTTTATTTATAGTGCTGTGGTGGGGAAGATATCTTCTAGAATACAAGGACTTCAAGGTTTCCAGTTGTCAATGGACCTTCATACTGATTGTAGAATTTAGCATGCTAGGATGACCAGCTGCTGGTTGTTATTGTTCAAATTGGCAGTGGACATTGTTGGGTTTTGGCAGGCCAGCATCTACTCCATATTCCCTTGATAATAGCACCCGGTTCCTCTTGAAGATTCATTTCTCCCCATTGGAGACAGCTTGGTAAGACTATAATTAAGATGCCCTGCCCTCCCTCGGCTAAGGAGCAGGCACATGACCCATGCCATTCACGGGCTCCTTCCCGTAGTTACGATCTTGACCAGCATGACAAACAGATGTAAAAAGAGTAGACCAATTTCATCCAGCAATAGCTCCCAGGAAAGAAAGCCAGGTGTTCTTGACACCATAAAGATCCATGAGGTTACTCTGGTGCCAAGCTTGGTTCTCTAGCCATTTCTGAATTGGTTCTCTGAGTCTGTTCTTTTTGCTCTTCCGTATCCTTCCAAAAATCTTCCTTTTTGCCCAAGTTGGCAGGAGTTGGTTTCAATAATATCTTTCATCCTGAGAGGTCTCCTAGGGGTGGGGGTGGAGGGGTTGTTGGTATTTGTCTTTTCATAATATATGAGGTATATATACGACTATCAGTATGTAAAAAGAAAGGTAATCACTTGTAGAAAAATATGGTAAAATATCTAAAAATAAAGGACAAAAGGAAGCAAGTAATAGTAATAATATATTTTATTGAATCAGAGCCATCACCAATTGTCAGAAACACTCTTATTTTACGTACCACTAAGAAAGAAAAAAAATGCTACCCATCAATTTATGACACACCATCCCAGCTTCAGAGATGTTGCAAAAAAGTGTGTTTTAAAATGATGAAGTTTGGTAATAAAAATGATAACTAAATGCATGGAGCCCCAGCTACATGCTAGGTCCTGTTCTAAGTGTTTTACCTATTTTAATTCTGTTCCTAACCATCTGATGAGGTAGTGTGATGTGTTAGCACAACTAATATCCATAGTTAGCCAAATAGATGGCTCAGGTTTAATGTAAGTTTGAAGTGGAGTTATTATTTTTATTTATTTTATTTTTTTGAGGAAGATCAGCCCTGAGCTAACATCTGCTGCCAATCCTCCTCTTTCTTTTTTCTGAGGAAGCCTGGCCCTAAGCTAACATCCGTGCCCATCTTCCTCCACTTTATATGTGGGACGCCTACCACAGCATGGCTTGACAAGTGGTGCCATGTCCACACCCGGGATCCGAACTGGTGAACCCCAGGCTGCCGAAGCGGAATGTGCACACTTAACTGCTGAGCCACTGGGCCGGCCCCTAAAGTGGAGTTATTATTTTATTTGAACTGACAGATTTATGTTTTAATCAAAGCAATAATTAAAATTGTGTGAGAAAGTATTGTTCTGATATTTTCTTTTATGAGATTAATTTCGAAAAAGTAACCTTGTCTTATGCTCAAAAACTCATTCTTAGTTTTGTTTCAATTCTTTTGTGTGTGTGTGTGTATGAGGAAGGTTGGCCCTGAGTAACATCTATGCCAATCTTCCTCTATTTTATGTGGGATGCTGCCACAGCATGGCTTGATGAGTGGTGTTAGGTCCACGGCCGGGATCCAAAACTTCAAACCTCAGGCTGCCATAGCAGAGTGTGCAAACTTAACCACTGCACCCCCAGGCCAGCCCCTCAATTCTTACAATTTGAAAAAAGATATGCCAGGGCCAGCCTCGGTGGCCTAGTGGTTAAGTTCAGAGCGCTCTGCTTCAGTAGCCTGGGTTCAGTTCCCGGGCACAGACCTACACTGTTCTGTTAGTGGCCATGCTCTGCTGGCAGCCCACATACTGAAAAATAGAGAACAATTGGCAGGGATGTTAACTTAGGGTGAATCTTCCTTAGCAAAAAGATAAACAAATAAAAAAAATTTTTTAAATTAAAAGATAATGCCATTTTTTCTAATCCTTGTTCCATAAACTTTAAAAGGCCCT